CAAAGAAATATCCAAAAAAAATTAAAGAAATAAAACTATAGAAAATAGCTTTAGATATATGTTATATATATATATATATATATATATATTATATATATATATATATATATATATATATATATATATATATATATATATATATATATATATGTGTTATATATATATATATATGTGTATATATATATATATATTGTTTATATATATATATATATATATATGTGTATATATATTTATTTGTGTATATTATATATATATATATATATATTTTTTTTTTTAATATATAATATATTACTGTTTATGTCTAAAATATACACATATATATATATATATATATATATATATATATATATATATATATATATATACATATATACATATATATATATATATATATATGGACGAAGTACTCTAGCCCATGGTTCGATACACCGTGGGTCGATATCGCTGGTACATCTGTCAACATTTCTACCTCTTTCTCTTATTTCTTTTTCCTTTTATGTTTTATCTTAAAGTCTAGCGTCGCTACTCAACCTTCACAGGATTTTCAAATCTGGCCGGGATCACGAATGTATCCTTAGCCCACATATAACTTGGTGCACGGGTGGCTGTGGATCAGGTGGTAGAGCGGGTCGTCCACTAATCATAGGGTTGGGGGTTCAATTCCCAGCCCATGTGACTCCATATACCGAAGTGTCCTTGGGTAAGACTCTGAACCCCAAGTTGCTCCCGATGACAAGTTAGCGCCTAGCATGGCAGCTCTGCTAGCATTGTGAGTGTGAATGGATGAATGAGAGACAGTGTACAGTGTTTTGTAGAACCGCTAAGGTTAAATAAATCGCTATAGAAGTGCAGACGATTTACCAGAAGATGCCACACAGCTGCGATAATTACATTTAAATACAGTTACTATAATACAAGATTTCAGTACTTCAAAATGTTAAATTTAATTAGAAGTCTGAGTTGTTTTTAAACCTGCCAATAAAAGACTTCTGTCGAACGAGGTAAATGAGGATCTGCCAAGTATCGTGGTATTGCGTTCCAGATATTTGGAGCAGGCTGTTTCTCCACTTTACAACTCTATAATGTGCTAATTAGACTAAAACAGTATTTTATGAGTAGGAAATCGATCAATTTTCCAAATAAGCTTTTAGGTTTTATGATTGTCTCTGACTGATTCATTAAATATGTGACCCGCTGCTGCAATCTTTTTTCCCCTTTGAGTTAAAAAGACTGCTTCTCCTGCAAAACATAAGGAAATTGCAAAGCGTGTAACATTTTCCCCTGCTGTAGCATTGTGTGTGTGTGTGTGTGTGTGTGTGTGTGGCCTTACAGCTGTGTGTGTGTGTGTGTGTGTGTGTGAGTGTCACCCGGGTCAGATTCCTTATCAGTGTCCAAAAGCCTCTTGAAGTGAGCGTCCCTCTCTCTCTCTCTCTCTCTCCGTCCTGTCATTCCTTCTCTCTTTCACCTGAGGCAGGAGGAAGTCGTGTCTGGAGGCAGGACACAGATAAAGGCAGTGTGTACGAGTGTGAGCGAGCGCTGAACACTGAGTGTGTTACTAAAAGTACATATCTTTAGACAGATTTACGTGGACTGCTCTGCTGAAGAGGATTTGTGTAGCACATGTAGGGCAGAGATCCAAAGGGAATTTTAATATAAATATCTCCTGACAGAGAAGCTTCCTTAAATAGGTCTTTGGAGAATAAAGAACGGGAAATAGGAATTAATCTTTTTCAAAGAGAAATGGACTGGCACTGCGTAAAGACCTGATATATCGGCGTATGAAAGAACTTAAACGCTCAGAGTGCATGAGTTCTCCTCCAGGAGTGTGTAGGTCTGATGTGTGAAAGATACATTCAACTAACAAATAATTCAACGCGATATGGTTCAATTTTGTACGACATAGAACTAGAAAGCCACGCCTCCTTCATTGGGACTGAACAAAAGAGAGTATAATTGACATGCGCAGAGGCAATAGCTTCTTTCCTAAAACTGTCAGACACAGAGGCCACGCCTCCATCGCTGGAACAGATAGACACAGAGGCCACGCCTCCTTCACTGGAACTGTCAGGCACAGAGTTCACACCTCCTTCACCGGAACGAAGGGCCATAAAACGCTGTTCCAGCATGACGATGGCCCTGTGGACAAAGCGAGCTCCATGAAGACATGTAGTGTTAAGGTTGGAAGAAGGTGGAAGAACTCGAGTGTCCTGCACAAAGCCCTGACCTCAACCTGACAGAACACCTAACATCATGGTTAAATGCAGATGCAGAGATGCTCGGATGCGTTCATTTGCCACTGTTGTAAGACATTTTTCATTCAGAACATTTTAAATCTCACAGATATCGAGGCCAGCGCACTGGTTCAAATCGATGACTGTTTAAACACGCAATAACAGCAAGCAAACCAGTGCTGATTTCTATCTCTTAGCTAAACTCTTTAACCTCCTTGTGTATGTAAAGGTGTATTTATCAGAAACCAAGGAGCACAAACTATGGCTCAAGGACTCGGTATTGATTTGCAAAATGTGAGCAGTGAAAGAGCACATTGTCCAGCGAGGGTCCCCATGATTGCACCGCACGCTGCATCGAGACCCTGCAGTCACGAGAGGCTAAACAGCGGCTGAATGGCGAGCTTTATAATCAAGTCAAATGACAGGAGAAGAAATAAATAAATCCACCGCATTAATTAGAGCAATGAGGTTATGGGTTTTTACAGAGTAATGTGAGAGTGCGAGAGCAGAACGACTTCCTTTCACAGATATCTTTTATGTCAACATCTCAACGGAAATTAAAGGGGATTTTAAAGGATGAGAAGAGCTGTCAATAACAAATGAAACAGCCATGTGAGGTTTCAAATGCATGACTCAATATTCAAAATCTAACCGTGGCACCTGATTGAATTTGAACTTCTTTTTTTTGTTTTTTTTTGTTTAGAAAACATTACGATTTTTAGCACTTGATTATGTGCTTATTTCCTTTAATAGAATAATGCGAGACACTTGGACTTTACAACCTGAGACACTTCAGATAAAAGGGCTTTTGTAAAAGTGAATTCAATTGGTTTCAATTGGGAAAAAAATGTTGATTTCAAAATATAGATTTAAACAATAAATCAATAAATACATTTTCAACAGCTATTATAATAATAAATATAGCTGCAACCAACAATACCAGGTTCAAGCCAATTATCGGCACATTGAGCAGCAAATGAAGCTTTGTGACATGTTTTTGGTTAGAGTCTGATGAACAGTGTAGGAGGAGTTAATAAAAAAAATATATTTCTTTTTAAAATAACTAAAAAAGCCACTTCTTAGAAATTGTGTCCAGTATGTGGTGCTGTTCTGAAACTGCCCAGGTAGCATCTGGGCATGATGGTCATCATGAGGGAAAGCGTTCAAGAGTTATAAGCGAAAAAAGTCATTTTAGCTATCTCCTGGCCAGTAGGGGGCAGTGTGCCAAAACTCTGCAGTTAATCTCAGGGTTTAATGATGATGACACCTACCAATCTGCATCACGATCCCTCAAAGCGTTGCAGAGATACAGCCTCAAGTTTAATTTTACGCATTCATCAAATTCACTGAAGCGCCGTTGGAAAGCGGTATGCTTTATCAAAATTCAGTGAATATTTTTTTTGTCCTACATGCATCTACATGATTCAGGCCAATTTCCGTGCAAATCGGACAAACGGCCTAAGAAGAATTCGAAAAAGTAGGTTTTTCAGAAAAATTCAAAATGAAAGAAAACTTTTCATGATGGAAAATGACATCGTATAGTGCATTAAAATCGACTTGAGCCAAGAAGTCGGAGAAAAAATTTCATTTCTATGACTCACAGTTCAAAAGTTATTAACATAAACCTGAGTACAAATTTGGACAACTGGTGGTGCTAGAGAGATTGAGTTAGAGACTCCAAATATGCTGCATTAACACATCAGACTGTCCTCTATCTGCGGGCCAAATTTCATAATCCATGTGCTGCCATAGACATCCACAGCAGAAGAAGAAGAAGAAGAAGAAGAAGAGGAGAAGAAGAAGAATCCATCATTCCATCTTCTACCGTTTACTCCTTTTCAGGGTCGCGGGGGATCCCAGAAGCATCGGGCAGGATACACCCTGGACAGGGTGCCAGTCCATCACAGGGCAATAATAATCCATCCATCCATACATCTTCAACCACTTATTCCTTCTTCAGGGTCACGAGGAACCTGGAGCCTATCCCAGGAAGCATCGGGCACAAGGCGGGGTACACCCTGGACAGGGTGCAAGTCCATCGCAGGGCAATAATAATAATAAAAATAATAATAAGATGAAAACTAATGAAAACAAGCAACTTTGTGGCTTGGCCCCTAATAATAATAATAATAAGAAGAAGACTACTACTACTACTACTACTACTACTAATAATAATAGTAATATTTAGTTTTAACTAATAGACCAAAATTATGAATTAACGTATTGTACACTGTAATCATAGCAGATGAGTGCTGGATCATGTGCTATTTTAAACGCTGCTGGATAGAGTGTGGAAGCCATATTGTCAAATTACAGCAAATTTCCAGTGATTCGTTTGATAATTCAAACTGTTTACGGTACGCAGCAGTTTATTAGACTATACAAGACTCATCTTCTCATTCATATGTCATCTTAATAGTTTTATTTTTCATTTTTGAAGTGTATCTTGCGTTTACAGTATGTTACATCATAATCCATTTGACGACAAAGACAAAAATGATTACTTCTTCAGCTTGCATTTTTGGAGCCCACATTTTATCCCGACTTGTTGAAATGTGGTGGGATATACTCTATTACAAAACTCTGTTTCAGAAGCGTTTACTTTATTTCTGGCAACCAAAGGTGTGAACTACATGCAGGTGATTAGCTTATTCTTAACGGTCCGGACATAAAATCAACTTAAGCACGTGTATAACTCGACTCTGTATGCACACAATATTTAGGCGCAAAGATTGATGAAACTTTCGAAATTAAGTAGCCTACTTTGAGGTGCACGTGGGCTTAGTGGTTAGTACGTTCACCTCACATCGCCAGGGGGTTCGGGGGTTCGATTCCCACCGTGGCCCATTGTGTGTGGAGTTTGCATGTTCTTCTCGTGCTATGGTGGTTTCCTCCGGGTACTCCGGTTTCCTCCCCCAGTCCAAAGACATGCATGATAGGTGTATTGGTGTGTCCGTAGTGTATGAATGGGTGTATGAGTGTGTATGTGATTGTGCCCTGCGATGGATTGGCACCCTGTCCGGGGTGTACACCTTGTGCCCGATGCTCCCTGGGAGAGTCTCCAGGTTTCCCGAGACCCTAAAAAGGATAAAGCGGTATAGAAGATGGATGGATGGATAGCCTAATTTGAGGCATACGTACCTCTAGCTTTAGTGAATGCTATTTATTTTCCTCCATTGTCATGTCTCCATGGCTCATCCATGGCTCATCGTTTGCTAAATCATCATATGTTACGGCCTGTTTCATGTATGTTTATGTTAGAGATCGGCACGGATTCATCAATCGTGCTCAGAGCTTCATGAATCAAACAGTGGCTCGGATCTGTGCTCGTTTCTACACTTTTTTAAACTGAAACACTATCTGCGGTTTAGTTTCGTCGTATCATTCTGCGTGCTGCTGCGAGGCAAATGAGCTGCCGTTAGTTGTCTCTCACACTGAGCTCCATGATTCAGCTCATATTAGTTTTTTGGTCTGCTACAGAACGTGAAAGCGTCACCAACCCACCTAAATCACGCGCACACTCACAGGAAGTCAGAAAGAGAGAGAGAGAGAGAGAGAGTTGGAGAGAGATCGTATTTCTGCTCTGTTTACCCGCTTCACTCTGTGTACACTGACCTAAAAGGTTTGTTTCCTTTGAGCTGTTTTCCCATATTTTCCCACCGCTCGCTTCTTTTGATTTTTTATTTGTGTGGGTCCTTTTGTAGATCCCCTGGGCAGGAACTCTGCATCTGCTCGTTTTCTTCGCCATGCTACCAAAAAAAAAAAAAAAAAAAAGAAAAGATTTTTAACATTTAAATTCACTTTATAGCCGTAGAAAAACCCAGATTAACACACAGAGTGAAGTCACAGCACCCAGGTGCTTCAATGTGTTTGAGATTTTATTACTGGATGCCATATTGGTGCAATTTCCATAAAATGTCTAAGGGCGTTTTAAGGCGGGAAATGACTTTGAAATGACCTTCTAGAGAACAGGACCGATGATGCAAACAACTGAACTACACTACATGAGTGAATGAATGAATGTACAGTACAGTTAGTTTACATTAATACTCATTTTTAGATTCATCTTATTTATCATTTTTTAACTCAAAATAGCGAATTAAAAGTGGGATGCACCTCGTGCACAGATTACAATTTCAGGACTTTGATGTAGTGTGATCTTCTGGCAATGCACTTGGACACATGATCGCTGATGTAACCCGGGGTCATCGGGTGATTCGAGACTGTGAACATCAGACACCCATCAACCCAGCTGAGGGTGATCAGGCCCTGGCTTGTATCCAAGTAGTTTATATTCCATGGATTACACCGCTCGTCCCTTAGGCGGTAACAATCCCCACTGGCACATGAACGCATGCTCAGTGCCACTGGTTCCATATGGATTCCAGACGTTTACACCTCTCAGACATGTCTACCTAACTACAGTCAGAAATGAGCAAAATATCACAAACCTTTTGACAACTGTCCGTAGAAATAACAAAAACAAAATCACCTGTTATTAAAGATGGTGGACGTTGATTGATTCCCAAATGAAGGAAAGATTGAAGAACCATAACCATACACACTGTCCACTCCGAAAGTATTAGGAACAGCAAGGCCGTATTGTTTTTGTTTTTGCTAAACATCGAAGACATTTTTGGTTTGAGATCAACAGATGAATATAACCTCAGATTAGATCAGAATTTCAGCTCGCATTCCCTGATATTTAGGTCTAGATGTCTGACGCAATTTAGAAAACAGCACCTTTTGTTTGAACCCACCCATTTTTCGAGTGATCAAAAATATTGGAACACGGTGAGAGACAGGTGTTGCGCAGATGTGCCCTGTTAGATGAACTGTTTACACATTCAATAACAACGAATTGGTTTGAGATTTGGGTTTAACCTGTGAAGAGTCTGTTGGTAAAAAAAAATAAAAAAATAAAAGACAAACCAACATGAAGACCAGAGAGCTATCTAGGGGAGAAAAGCGAGCCATTTTGAAGCTATAAAAAGAGGGGAAATCTATCAGAGCCATTGCACGATCGTTGGGAATAGCCAATACAGATGTCTTGAAAAACAATTAAACCAATAGTTGTTGGAAAGCAACAGTAGAGAGCTGTGAAGAAAAAGACAAAAACAACAGTGAACATAGTTTATTATTGTGCTAGAGGTAAGATTTGTGATTCAAATTGACAAACTTTGTCTTAAGGTTTTGAGATTAAATACAAATCTTTAAATACTCTAATCTCCAAAAAATGATATTTTTTCATGAATCAGGCCAAAGTTTGAACAATCCAGTGTTGAAAAGCAAAGCATTTCAAAGCTCCATATGTTCAGAAGAACACACCATAGTGGATAAAACTGTTGGAATAGAAAATTGCCTGTTGTAAGTAAACTTACTTAATATTTCACACCGTTGCCTAATTTCCAGCAGCCCATTGGGGGTCAGAGAGTGCTTGTTTCAAGCGTCGCATGTTCCATATTCATCTGTCTCTTGCCGAGACGTACAGATGGAAGCGAGATATCAGAGGGGGAGAAAACGAGGTCAAAAACAAAATCGATGGGAAATGAGGAGAGCCTGGCATCTCAGTAAAGCAAACAGCCTCAATAAAACATCAATCCTCCATCTTTGCATTGGAGAAATACAGGGAAGGTTTGTTTAAGCAAATATGTAAGCAATAATGATTTCTACCAACGTTTATTTATTTATTATTTATTTATTTATTTATTTATTTTTGCCGATCTGTTGACACACCAAACCGAAAGAGATGATTAATATATGCGACTAATCACATCTGACACTCCAAACTGAACATTTATTTTAATCTCTGTGTGAAATTATTGTTGATTTACTGCAGTCTGTTATCGAATCAGAGCACCATTCATCTCAGTCAACTTACAGTGTGAATAATTTTGTCTGTGCTTTATACAATAAAATGTTGTGCAGAAAACAAGGATGATACGTTTACCGTGCTTTACAGCTCACCTGGAATTGTGGGAAAATAATTATAGTACTGGCAGATTATACTCTACGTATGAACCTTATTATATGGCTAGTGAAGCACTGCTGTGATAATAATACAATTAAAAGGTATAGTATTATTCATTTTAATGCATATTAATTTCTAGGCAAAACACATATGAAACAGCGAAGAAACCTTGAAAGGCTATTTTTTTCCCCATTTTTATTTCACTTGTGTTGACATTGTAAATCCATCCATCCATCCATCTTCTATACGACTTATCCTTTTCAGGGTCACGGGGAACCTGGAGTCTATCCCAGGGAGCATCGGGCACAAGGCGGGGAACACCCTGGACAGGGTGCCAGTCCATCGCAGGGCACAATCACATACACACTCACACACCCATTCATACACTACGGACACTTTAGACACGCCAATCAGCCTACCATGCATGTGTTTGGACTGGGGGAGGAAACTGGAGTACATTGAGGAAACACTCAGAGCATGGGGAGAACATGAAAACTCAGCACACACAGGGCTACGGTGGGAATCGAACCCCCGACCCTGGAGGTGTGACGCCAAGTTAACCACTAAGTCACCATGCTCCCATAACATAGTAAGTGTCCAAGTAAAATCAACTAGAACTTGTAGACCATCCAGGTAACTTTGGGATACTCATTTCAACCTACTGTGATTCGGAACATACTAATTCTGATCTCGGATACTATTTAGGATGGATAGTAGGCGAGTTGGGATGCAGCTAGTGTCTTTGTCTCTGCTGCTGAAGCCACAAAGAGCTTTCAAAGCATATACAGTATCTCATTGTTGAAAGGTATCGATCAGGAGACGGGTTGAAAGGAATTTCCGAAACATTAGATGAACCATGGAGCACTGCGAAAGCCATCATCAACAAGTTGAGAAAATGGAGCACCACCGTGACATCACAAAGAACAGGATGTCCGTCCATAATCGACAAAAAGACAAAACAAAAATGTATCAATGAGACTGCCAAGAGACCAACAGCAACATTAGAGGAGCTGCAGGAACATCTGACAAGTACTGATTACTCTCAGCATGGGACAACAAGCGTTGGTATTCTTCACATGTCTGGGCTTGGGGTAGGATGGCAAGAGAGAAGTCTTTTCTCAGAAAAATATATATATTTTTTAAAATCCAGCTTGCCTAAATCGCCTAGCTAGATTTGATAGATGTGAAAACTAGCTTGATATTAATGTGATAACCCGGCTTACTTTCTTTTTTCATTCCCTCTTCAATTTGGTCACATACCATTTCACAAATTGAATTCAGGAAGGTGATGAACTGATTTTGTCCCTGTCCATATTATCATTTCATTATTCTATCTATCTATCTATCTATCTATCTATCTATCTATCTATCTATCTATCTATCTATCTATCTATCTATCTATCTATCTATCTATCTATCTATCTATCTGTCAGGGATGTAACCAATGACCAACATGAATGAATAATTGTGTCAATTTAGGACTAAATAAGTTCATTAGAATATATTCTGGGCATAATGTACAATTAAGACCACACCCAGTATTATAGAGCACTAAAATAATGTTTTGGAACACTAAACAGATGGAGATCAAGATCTGTCTGTCTGTCTGTCTGCCTATCTATCTATTGATCGATCTATTGAGGGAGAAAATGCAGTGCACTTCAGTACCGTTAGTGGCACAAAGTTAAAATTATAGACTGATCATTTTTTTGTCAGTGGGCAAACGTACAAAATCAGCAGGGGATCAAATACTTTTTTCCCTCACTGTACCTATCATATAAAAATCTACCAGCTAATTCCTCCCTTCGAGCATAGTATGTATACTTTCTCTCCTCCTTCATTCTGGGTGTGTGTTAAAGATTCCTATACTGATTT